AAATTGAGGGGATCTCGCTACAAAAGGATGGCATAAGGAGAGCTAGAATCTGGACACACATCCTGATTGTAAGCAGCCAAGAAAGACCAAAAATGACAGACCAACAAACAATTCCCAATAAGCAAAACTCCCATTTCCCTTTTCTTACTTCTCCTCCCTGCATGGCTACCGGGGAAACTAATAGGATTAGTTTCCCTATAGGGAAACTAATAGGATTAGAATATGCAAGGAGAGGGGCTTGGCAAACTTGAGCTGCGTAGAGGGCAAAAGCATGTAAATTGGAGAGAGCGATATTTTGTTTTGGACTGCAATAACCTCTAACGGCAGTTCCAATACCAAAAAGTGTCCGAAAGCAAGGAGTTCTGCCGGGTAGAAGGAAGTCATCCTGGGAAGACACACTGTCACAGCGTGACTGAAGGTAACAGTGGGGAAACTAAAGCTGCTTCCTGATTGGAACTTCCTGAGATCTGTCTGATCAAGGCAAGAAAGACCTGTCCACACAGGAAGGCAGAGGAGGTATCTGTGAAGAAAGGAGATGAGTCAAGAGGAGACTGCATCTAGAATATAAAGAGAAGTTCGCAGTGAACTTGGACTGCAGCAGCCAAAGGGGAGGTGGATGGCAGTGAGCCAGAGAAATCTGCACATATCCACACGCACAACCAGCCTCTGCTCAGGGGGTTCATCCACCCACACCCACAAGACCCGCATCCTGCTCCGTGTCCTGTTTCTCTCACACCCAGCAGCGAAGTTCTCTCCCAAGAGGCTAAGAGATGCTGTGATAAATCCTCTGTCCAGTTTCAGAGCTGAAAAAGCCCTGGAGAAAATACAAGAAATGAACTTGGACAGATTAAGTGACTTGCTCAAGGCCACAGACAGAGCTCGAATAAAAATTTCTGTTCCAGTACACTCCCCTCGCTATAACACTGGCTCTCTCATCATAGACACTATAAAATGTGTTATCAAAATACTAGGTTCTATGACTGTAGTAAAAGGAAGTACTTTAAAAATAAAAGCAACAAATGCAGCACTTGCCTTTGGTACATGGTTGTAAAGAAGACTATGGCTGGGCACAGTGGCTCACGCCTGTAATCCCAGCACTTTGAAAGACCAAGGCGGGCAGATCACTTGAGGTCAGGAGTTCAAGACCAGCCTGGCCAACATGGTAAAACACTGTACACTAAAAATACAAAAATTAGCCGGGTATGACGGTGCAAGCCTGCAATCCCAGCTACTTGGGAAGCTGAGGGGAGAGAATTGCTTGAACTTGGGAGGTGGAGGTTGCAGTGAGCCGAATCACGACATTGCCCTCCAGCCTGGGAGACAGAGCAAGATTCTGTCTCAAAAAAAAAAACAAAATAAGAGGACTATTGCTTTTCTCTAAAATGCAAATCACTAAATAAAGGCTGTTGAGAAAGTGCCTCACTTCCGATGAATAGCCTGAGTGCTAATGTGTCCACCAGCCCTGGGTGCTTCTGGCCCAGCTGGTTCTACAGTGTACCTGCTTCTTAGACTCCTATGGCTTTATCACACTTCTTGAAGGGCACAAGAAATTCACACTTCAAGATTTTTTTCATGATCTAGATTTTTCTGAGTGAAGACTTGGAAATGGACCATCAATTCAGGTTGGGCCTAAGGCTTCTGAGGTGTCACACCAACAGAACTCTAGAATTCATGTTTAAGTGACAAGAGTACTCCATCATGTAGCAAGATGGTCCTTTTGCTCAGAAGGAGATCACACACAGCTGGGTTGGGAAAGGGGGAAGGAAGGAGCTCACCTAGCCAGCCAGACCTGCCTGATCAGCCCTGGTAACTGGTGGGATAACACCAGCCACAACAAGACCACCCACATAGCTGGATTACTGCTTGAGGAAAGTCTACACCCACTTTTTGTTTACAGAGCCCACTAGTTTTCTCATAGACTTCCTCTGCATAATTCACTAAATGGGGCCCTGATCCAATAAAGATCAAATATAAAGGACTCACTTTATATTGTTCCTTTAGCTTTTTTTTTTTTAAGCAACTTATTATTTCTGTGCAGTAGAGATGCATCCCTTTATGTATTGCTCTTTTTTAAAGTCACTACTCTTAGGCTGGGCGTGGTGGCTCCCACCTGTGATTCCAGCACTTTGGGAGGCCAAGG